AGTTTGAGGCTAGAGATTTCGAAAAGAAAAATACTGAGGAAGATTTTTGGAGGAAAGAAGATAGACAACATATGGACCAGAAAAACAAATGAAGAATTAAAGCAAACTATAACCAAGCTAATACTAGAATGGCGGCCAAAACAAGATGCTCTCAGAAACAGAGGCAGACCTCCGACAAGATGGTCAGATGACTTGAAGAGATTTAGCGGAAACTGGATCCAAGTGGCACAGGACCGAGAAGAGTGGAAGGATTTGAGGGAGACCTATGCCCAGCAGTGGGCACTTCAGGCTGGTTGATGATGATGATGATGATATCGGACACCGAGTATAACGGGAGTAGGAAGAGCACAAAGACTGACATGGCTGGGACACATTGAAAGAATGGCTGAAGCAAGAATTCCTAGTATGATAATGAAACGTAAAATAATATAATATTTTTTTGTTTTTGAAATAGGTGGAAAGAGAAGGAGGGATAGACCGAGAACCAGAAGGAAAAAGGTTGTTGAAGAGGACTTGAGAAGAAGGAAAAATACTGAGGAAGATTTTTTGAGGAAAGAAGATAGACAACATATGGACCAGAAGAACAAATGTAGAATTAAAGCAAACTATATCGGGCACCGAGTATAACGGGAGAATAAGAGTGGATGGGTGGAGAATAAAGGCGAAAGGCAGAAACAAATGGAGAAAGATAACCAAGCAAACCATGAGTCTTTTAGGCTTTTAGAGCTATTATATGACTATTATAAAAAAATTAATCTACTTTGTTTACGAGGAACCTGAACTGCGGTCCTCGATGTCTATGGCCTACCGATTTGACGAGTAAATGAGCAGTGTGTGTTGATAGATTTTACACTTTAGCCTCAAAACAACAGCACGTCAGAGTTTCCAGACGGTCAAATGTTTTCAAAAATTTTATTAATTTATACTTATATATTTTTTATGATATTTCTTTTTTATTGTCGAAATTCCACACAACAAGAAGCCTTGACTAAAAACCTCTATTTTAACACTTAGGTCCTTCTAGGGCGTCCTAAATTGCGACTGCGGAATTTAATAAAGGTTCAAGGGCTGATTACCGGCTTATCAGGTGTTGTCTATCCAGTCATTAGGGCCCCGTGCCCTGTGGATTTGTCGAAAGATAATTTTAGGTCGAAGGGCACGAGCAGGTACTCGAGGCTAGAGACAAGCTGGTTTGCTTTGTTTGTTCCTCATTTGCGGACTGGATTTAAATTGGTATCGCTATTTTACAGGATTGTCGCTTTTTACTATTTTTTATTCAATATATTTATTTTAGGTATATAATAATTTTTTGTTTAGCAATAAAATACTTTCATACGCGTTCCTTAGTAGGGCTATAGTTTGAAAAGCATTTAACAGCCGTACACCTGCTTTATGTGCGAATTTTCTGTTTAAAGCTTGTCAGGCTAAGGAGACTACTCATTCATAATACAAAGAATACAAGGTATGATATTGCGCAGGTTGGTCACTACGTCACAGGTGATAAAATGTCTTGCTCTCGTCTCGCACTCTTCTTGCTCTTGCCTCGCTCTTGTCTCGCGCTCGTCTCGCACTCGACTCCTCAGGTCTGGACGCACCATTACATTATTAGGCATTTGCATAAAAGTGTGTATTTTGGGTGGTATTCCACAAAATTTGCAGGCTATTGAGGAAACAGAAAATGTACAGATTACAGAAATAAATTGAAACTAATATTTATATTAAAACAGTATTATATGTCAATTTTTCAAACATGTCCTTCAAATCCTTCAATCCTGTTAGTAAGAAGTTTCACTTCAACTATTTCAGTTGATATTTTAACAAAGATATTAACAGCGATATATTAAAACGTTTTTTTTTCTCTTCAACAAAGTGCCCTTGAAAAATGCCGAAGAACCTTAAAGGGAACATATTAATATCGGTCACGCCGTTGCATTTCCCTTCCCTCAAACGATCTTTCTCCCTTTAATGCGAAGGGACGCACCGTAAAAGGCACCCTTTGCCCTACTGCTGCATGCGTGCAGGAGGCTCGGTGTCTTTCCCAAAAAGGGGGGAAAGAAATCGTCGAAGGGTAGTAGGGAAAGGAACGATAGGGGATGCGATAGTTAAGGGATTACCGCAGGTGATTTTTATGTATTAATAAAACAGAAGCTTTGGTTTGAAAGGAGCTAGTTATGTTTTGATGAAGTTAATAAATTATTCCTAAACATTTTTCTACATATGAAGTGGAATATATAAATAATATTAAGATAAGTGGCAGTTCTTTAATAAGTAGGTATGTGTGCGTGAATCCCCAAAATTAATGTATCTTTTGAAAAAAAAAATTAAGTAATGTTGTCAATCTTGGAACTAAAGATAGAGAAAAATCTAAGATCTTTCTTTATTTTAGTTAGAATAATATCTAGTAATCTTGGGATTGTCACGGGGTTTTAACAGGGCACTGTCTGTTCAACAAACACGTCAGTAGATTGAAGCTCAGAAACAATATGGCGAATGCAGATTCTGTGGGGAAATGAGGAAACACCAGGGCCCGTATTCTGTAACTTTAACATAAAAACGTTACGCTTTCAAAGCGGTGAGCGCAAGTATTCGATCAGCGAAACGCAAGGCTGTCGATTTTGGTATTCTCATTGCCATGCGAATCGTGTTCTGGATACGCGTTGAACACATATTGGCATCATTACAATTTCTAATGTAACTAATAGTCAAAAGTTGATAACTGACGGATGTAACAATGAAAAATGTCAATGTTACGTGAATTTCATAACCTATTGTTGAGTTATGTCAAGCTACTTTTCTATGGATATGTCATTATTCTTATTATACGAGGGAAGTGTTGAAGACGCTTCTCAGCATTTTCGATGTTTTGAACAATTTTTATAGCTGCCAAGTCGTAAATTATCAATTACTTATTGAGGAATTTATAAAAGAAGTAGTAATTTTCACTAAAGAGCAAGATAACGCACAAAATCACAATTTTTTCGATTTTCACTGACAGTTCGACAAGCGAAACGGTCCTTTAAGGCAACCGTTTTCAAAGCACTCAGCGCAATCAATAAAGACGCTAAGCGCGTCAGACGAGAATACCGAAATCGTTAATTAAGTTCGCGCTCAGCGAAAATTAACGTCATATACGCTAAGCGTCTAAAAGCGCTTAGCGTTTTCAAAGTTACAGAATACGGGTCCAGAACACTTTTCGACGACAACCATTCGTGCCATAAACTTCGGTACGACTGATATTGGAGACGGAGAACTACCCTCTGTAAGACCGTCTCAGATACTGGCTTTTGACAAAGCCCTGAAGCTGCATGATGAGTTATAACTGAAAAGAAAAGACATGATATTCCCCCCTTCTTTACAATCTACATTTATATCTAACTCTCTTTTAATTTGCGAGATTCCAGTGAGAAGGTTCGAATTTGGAACATCCTGTATTAAATACATGGTGGCGTCTCTCATACGACGCGGAGACTCCAAGGAGAACGGTAGTTTGTATTGAAATTAAATGTTGTGAGCATGTGTAGGTTTATCTAGAGCGTTTTTTATAAACATAGTATTCTACCAGAGCTACAAAAAGCTACAAATCAAAGTTGTGTTTTTTCTAATAGAATACCCTATATATTAATTTATTTTTGGATTCTATAAAAAAAATAAAGGTGAGCTTCATTAAAGATGAATATACCTAAAATATAAGGATTTTGACATATTTCACATTTTGTGAAAATGAAGAATAAATTTTAAATTTTAATATCAGCTGCCTAAATTGTAATTTATCCTGTATAGCCTGATATTTAGTTAAAATACCCATTTTAGGTTAAGCCAAATTAAAATTTAACCCGTAAAGTTATACAGGGTGGGACAAAATTACTAATGTACTCTGGTCTCTTTTAAAAGCAAGTATATTATTCCGATATAGCTTTTCGTGACTGCCCATTTAATTACATAGTTGTTATTATACATCTCTAATAACACCCTGTTATTAAAGCATCATAAACCTTGTCTAACTGAAACAAACAAAAAATAATCCGTAGATTATCAAACAAGATATTATCAAACCACATCGACAATTCAATTTAAAACAAATTTCGTTTAGTTCCAGCGTTTACTTAGTGGTGTTTTAATAACACCAAGCTGAACCACATAGAGATACGGATCTTAATCGGTAAGAAATTACCTACAAAAGCTAATATAAACAAAACAGCCGTGGCAAAATCTTCGTGTCGAAGGAAAAACGACGTAATTTTGATCGGTTACCATGAAAGTTGCAGACGCTTTCTTTAATTCGTTTTGAACCCCGACGGAAACGATTAAACTTCCCTAATATTAAACGGGGTTAGTTTGATTTGAGTTGAAATTAGGCGATTTGAAAAGATACTAAACACGAAGACATTACCTTGTAGTGTACAGAAATTAAATACACTTTTCACTACATAATTATTGTTAAAAAACATAATTAGTGTGGATATGAATCGCATATGGATAAAGCTAAAAAAACGGTCTTTAGCAGTAGAGGAGTTAATCACCACGTTCTTATACAGGGTCCGGCAATAGTGCGTTTCATTTTTTTAAGTGCAAACCTTATTTTGCTATAAATATCGTAATCTTAAATCATACAGGGTGTTCAAAATTCTACGCCAAGCTTTTTAAAATATAAAATAATTTTTCTTTGATTCCAATGTAACTATTACACCAATAATTTCAGTGTGAAATCTGAAAGAGTTAAATACATATATCAAAGAATTAATAAAATATGATGCCCAAATTTATTTAAAAAAAATAATTTACGAAAAAAACAAAAAAAAATTTAGATGAATATTATTCCCCGAAATGACGCTTATAATGTTTTAAAATAAAAAAATAATAAAATATTTTAATAAACTAATATAAATTTAGGAAATTAATAACTGTATATGAATAAAAACTTTTATCTTATTGTACTCTATTAATATATTATATTATTTTTTTACAAACGCTTCAAGGTCGATTTTTCTTTCTCTTTCCAGGTCAACCAATCGTCCCTTCACATTCTCGCACCTGAAAAAGCGAAAATCCGACAACGCCGCAGCACCGCATAGTATGGCAACAGTGGCCAACAAGACCTTCACCAAGTTAGAATCCCTCGAAGACAAACGCCGCAGAAAATCCACTGAGGACACCCCCAAACCCTTAGTCCTACCCCAGAAGAAACGCGTCCTACCCCCAAGCACCACCAACAGTCCAATCAAGAAGAACCAAAAACTTTCATCGAGTTCCAGCGGTAGTGAGGAGAATGGCGCTGATGAAACCTTGATCAGAGAAACAGAGGCGGCATTGAAGAACCTTGGAAGCTGGGCAGGACCACGAGGTCACACCTCGTACTCCAACCAAAATGAGGAATCGCCAGCTTTCGAGAACTTGTTCGACGAAAAAAAGGCTAACGTCAAAATGTCACCTTCCAGCGCTTCAAACTCCAGCACTGACAATCCATGTTCACTCAAAGACGTTATAACATTGAGGGAAGACGAGAAATCGGACAATTTCAAAACAAAAGTCGTCAGGATCAAGCAGGAAGTATGCGAGGAAAAGCATAAAAGCGACTACAGGCCTCCGGACTTCAATGAGCTTGTCGACGATTCTTCTAATGAGCTTGAGATTGATATGTCCGAGGCGGCTTCGGAAAAAAACGAATCTAGTGACAGGTCGAATGTGTCGGAGGGTGGTAGAGATAAGAGAAAAGAGGAGGGGAGGTTCGGGGAGAGTCAGGGGTTTTCTGCTTTTACCAGGCACTCCTCTGGAAGTTCTTTATCGTCTCCGTTTTCGAGTAACAGTGCGTTCAGGCCACCGCAACCGAGTAATAAGGCTTTGACGAATTTAGGTAGGTTTCCTTTTTAGGTCTAAGTATAAAATAGATACAGAACAGTCAAATTAAAAAAGAAACAATGTTTTTATTTTCTGCTTGACAAAACTACAAAATATCTTATTAATCTGATTATCACCTACCTTTATCAAATACATAGTAAAACTAGTTATCGTAAATTTCACAGTTTATACAGAGTGTCCCAAAAATAAGTCAAGTATTTTAACTGGTAGTATAGTTCAACTCTAGAAATACGCCTATGAGTTTTTTTCGCGAAAAAAAAATATTGAAAATTCGAAATTTTTTGAAAAACTTTTTTAGCTTTTAGTTAAAAAACATAATTTCTTGATAATATGGCAACATAGATATTACATTAAATTTACAAGAAAGAAAATCCAGAAAAGAACCAGTGGTTCTCAAAATGTTAACAAAAAATAATTTTTTTAAAATGAAAATAATAAATACTCGGTACTCCTCGCGTCGTATTCCTAGTGTCCCGACCGACCCGTTCAAGCACAACTGCAACTGCGTACTGCCTGACCAGCCGACTAGCCGGCAGTGAATCTCTAGTACGAACGCAAATCGGGTAAACGTAAATTCGTCCGGCAACTTGCTATGTTACTAGTAGCCTGGTCTTCTCTGTATAAACAGTTATTATTTACATCAACAAAACTCACCTCCTTAACAGCACTTAAGGGCCATTACTGAGATTTTTGCAATCTTTTTTTCATATTTTCGACAACAACAATATTGAATTTTCACACTAATGGACCACTCTGTAGATATTCTCTAACAAAATACCATTCCAACCAGGTCCCTACCCAGCCGAGGCAACTTTCGTCGGTTATCCGGGCATGGACCAATCCCCAGCGCCGGAAGACAAGCCGAAAAACATCCTGAAACCCATAGAGGGCGCCGCTGACACAGTGCCCGTCAAATCCCCGGAAGCTTCCAACAAACAGTATACGATCCTGCAGCCGGCCTCCATAAGGTCACGCGCCGTCAACGCGTTTCAGGAAGTGTCGCGAGATGGCGTGCCGCCCGGCGTGGCAGCTGTCAACAGTGGCAGCGCTGACGTGGCCAAAGTGACGGTTACGACGGTGAGCGGGGGCAGTCTGTCACCGAACAGTATAGGCAGGGGTAAGTTAGATGTTTTTTTGGGGGGATGTTTTGAAATGAACAACGATTTGCGTTCAACTCTTACAAATTTTAGATTGTATGTAGATCTCCGATATCAGTTTTACCAAAGTTATAGCACGAATAGTTATCATCTCGGCGCACTCAGCGATGACGTGTTTCTCAATTTCCAGTTCAATCTACTGAGGTTAGAGGTGGGAATTCTAGTTCCTTAGTTCTAGTTCCTCCAGCAGAATAGTTCCTTGAACTAGGTCTTTAGTTCACAATAGTTCCCGACTAACTTGCTAATGCGTTTCGTTGTCAGTCAGAACTATTCACAGTATGATCTGTATACTTTTTATAATGTACGGAGATATAACGAGACGTGTAATTGTGCACAGTTTTATTGCAGACAAAAAAAAACTCAAATCAGAATTTAAAAAACTATTGTGATATAGTCAATTGGTATATAATCAATTGGAGCACATATTACAAAAATTTTACGAAAAATTGCATTTTTCCTTACTTCAAGCTTTTTGTTTTTGTCTAAAAATTCAGAATATCTACTTCGTTTTATAAGATATTTCTTAATTTTAGAGACCTAAAGTGAAACATTCCCATAAAATATTTAAAAAACAAACAATAAACCAAAAACAGTATCCACGGCAATTTTCTGTGGGAATTACGCCCCGCCGGCTGTGGCAATAGACAATGCCGAATCCATCGTCGTCGCCTTGTATTATATCTCGGATCTGCCGACTGAATAGATTCCCGTGAACTAGTCTTTTAATAGTTCCTCTATATCCGGATCCGATAACATACGGCTGGCACTCCCCACGCCTGCCTAGCATCGATCGCGCTGGCTGATCCATACATAAACTAGTATTTTATTTAGTTCCTCTAGTTCCTTTAGGTCCGGATCAGATAACATACGGCATACGGCTGGCACTCCCCACTCCTGCCTAGCATCGATCGCGCTGGCCCGATCCGTTCGTACGTAAACTAGTCTTTTATTTAGTTCAGTTCCTCTAGGTCCGGATCCGATAACGTACGGCTGGCACTCCCCACTCCTGCCTACCATCGGGCTACGCGCGCTAGCCGATCCGTCGCCGTCGCATATTATTCTATATCGGTCACAGTCTCGATCCCGGAATAGGTCCTGAGGAACTAGTTCCTTTCGTTCCGGGGTCGGAATAGTTCATTGGAACTAGTTCGTTCACGAACTACACACCTCTAATACACTGTCCTGTTAAAAACCCCGTGATAATCCAATGATTGTTCATTAGGATGCACCAAAAAAATCAATATTTTTTTTCTTTTAGTTACCTTCAAAATATCGTTCAGGATGATGAAAAAAGATTCCGGTAAAGTTTTAGCTTTTAATATTAATATTAAGAGGTGTCACATCGTGATTTTCTATTTCCCATTTAAATAACACAGGGAATTTTTTTCTTGAATTCTATTGTGTTCTAACAAATCAGCGTTTTGTAAAAATCAGCACATATTCTAGTAGAAAATTGAACAGTCTTCAAAAAAGGTCTGATATGAATTTTCATTTAATCGACTCGTTTGAAAGTTATTGAAGGTTAAAGTTCAACTTCCACAAAGCCGAGAATTAAGTATGATTCCCAAGTAACAAAATTGCGACTTCCGACTAGTTTTGACTACGCGCAACTTTGAAATTGGTACTTTTCCCTGCCCTGTGCATACCCAAACTTCAAATTACGTAGCCAAAACGTCGCTACGACGTTGCACTTAAACAGTTGTATATTTTGACCCTTAACAACGTTGGTAAACGTTGTAGGGCACAAGGTTGTTAGAAGTGGGGTTTTATACCGTTGTCATTACGTCGGCAGAAGGCATGTTTATTGTACTACACAATAACAAACGTAGTACAACGTGTGAGTAACAGTGTAAGTAAATACTAACTACAACGTAATACAACGTTCCATTAAACGACCCAAAGCAACTTCAAAATTATGACCAATTACTACGTTGGATTATGGCGACGAGCGCGATGATATCGATTTTTGTTGTGGAAGCGGAACTATCTACACCTAACCCCAAAAAAATCTGTACTGTACTGTCACAGAGCAATTGGTTAGGTATTTTTTCTGTTGTACTTACTGTGTAAAGCGAAAAGAAGATGTATAGGAAAAAAGTATATAAATACTCTTTAAAACTTTTTATAGAAAAAGGAAAAAGTATTTAGAAGAAAGTCAGCGAGCAAGTCAGTGTCCGAAAAATGAAGTGGAAATAACGAGTTAAATTCACCTAGTTATTTCTTAATGGAGCATAATATATTCCATTTCTAATTCATACATCATTCATTTTGGTTTCCCCATGGTTGAATATAGTAATATTTGACGACGAATATTTTTAACTCTAACCCCAAAATATCGCGAATCGGCATAAAAAACAATTTTTAGCACACGACGTACTACGTCGCCTCAAACAACGTCGCCAACGTTGGCGACGTTGTAGCGACCCTAAAAACATTCACCATTTTGGTGCAAATATGGGTCGCTTAGACGTCGCTTCGACGTTGTCCGGCAACGTTGGGTTGCTCCTGGCGACGTTGTGATTACGTTGAACAACGTAATTTTGCTACTTGGGTTATTTCTACAGAAAAAAAAATTAACTTACTCTAAAGAGCCGGTAAGATGCAAACTGGTAGTAAAAAACAAAATTATTGAGCAAGTGTCACAGTTTAGATACCTAGGAATAGATAAAATCCAGAGAAAGATTTGAGAAGCTAAATAAACAGAGCAACGGCCATGTCACATGCGAACAGACAGCAAAATTAAAATTTAAATGACCTGCATCAGACCAATAATGACATATGGCATAAAAATCCGAGAGGAAAAAAACAAAACCAAAAGCATGTTAAGAGTCGCTGAAATGAAGAACCTAAGAACCACAATGGGGAAAACTAGAAGAGACAGAATTAGAAACACAAATATCAGACAACAATGTGGAATTCACGACGTAGTGAGATGGGGTAGGCAAAGAAAAAGAAAATGACTCGTACACGTAAATGCATAGCTCTTGAAGGGACGTCCATGTTTAAGTAATAGCCGGGAAAACCTCCAAAAAGATGGAAAGACAGTTGGAATTCCATCTCCCAAAAACTCCTACAGAGGCAATCTTAAAAGTAAAGAAGAAGAAGACTTTGGAATAACAGCACGACACAACGAAGTTTACCAAACATTGTAATTTGTAATTTTTGAAAAATTAATTTTTTCTCTACAATTTTAAAAGTCAAACCCTGAAAATGCTTAGCGATATAGTCCCCCGATTTACTACTTCCCACCGTTATATCTTTCTTCGCTTCCTGATTACCCTCGAAAATACGAGGCAGCCAACCACGCGTAAAGCAATAAATATAATTTTGCGTCTCTGTGCGTTGCGGCGGAGTAGAACTATAATTAGGTAATGAACGGGAGTTCGCGTTTCCGTCTTCCTGTCAACGGTGAGAGAGGAGAGTCAGTTGGCTGTAATGCCCGACGTTTCGCTCTCATTCCTCTTCCCCTTCGTCATATTACTTCCTCGATGCTTTCCACGACGCCAGTTTTAACATATATATAGAGATTCTTTTATTAATAAATTAATTGTCATTCATCTTTTTTAAGATTAAGGATTTTAAAACAAGCAAATATTTTTATTGAGATGTCCCGCCTATTTAAAAATAAATGTATTTCTTAAAATTCAAAACTTTCAGTTTTAAGACACTCTGTATACAAAAAGCCTACCGTCCGAGACCCATTAATGTTAATTTGGGTTTGTAAATTTTGGTTATTGTGACAAAGAATTTTATTAAAGGTAAAGTACATGTTTCCTCGTTATTTAACTAAAACATATATTATATTTTTCTGTAACATGTATATGTGTTTAATGGAATCGAATTTTGCTTGAACAATTTCAGTTTAACAGTAATCTTACTACAAACGTTTACTGTTCATTCCTGCTGATGCTTTTGGTTCAGTGTGACAATAAGTGTTTTGTTGAGTGTATGACTAATATTTTTGACCGTGACTGGGCTAATATTTTAGCAAACAAGTGAACACTCAGAACCAAAGAATAGAATAATTCATAGACTAAAGATATTAGCACCAAACATATCAACTTTAGCTTTGAGCCTCGAAACCAGAGACCTTAGTACCTGCAGGTGGGAACCTGCTAAACTCACAAAAACCACTTTAGTTCTGAATGTAATAAACTACAAACCTTGGTATGAGGACAGTATTTATATTTTTATTATTACCCTTTCATTAAAGTTTAGAACAGCATAGTTGGGTTCTTTGGAATAGTGATTAAGATTTTCTCTGCCATGCTCTTTTCTCTTGTGAATTCCAGGCAGAGTATGACACACCTTTTATTTTATTTAATAAAATTAGTAGGGCTATTTACAAATTTAGCGTATGATTCACATAATCTATTCTCCACAAATTTCCATAATATTGCTTCTGTCGAGCGCATCCAAGGTAAATCAGAATAAAAAATTATTTTTAACACAACATAGGTTCCTTTATTTCGTTTAAACTACTTGTTGTACTGTTGGCCAAAATCTAATCTCTTCAACTTTGTTGAATTTGGGTCATACTGTAGAGGTGATTTGTTTAAAACATTATGCTTTTAAACCTGTTTTTTTTTGTAAAATCATAATTAACGTGGGTATGAATCGCATTTATTTGATATAATGATTATTTTTAAAATAATATGATATTTTTCATTGCCTTTTACTATTCTTAAAAATTGTATTTCAAGCCACCCAAAAGCGTGGCTATTAAGAATCTCGCACGTAGCTGTCACCTGCTCGCAACGCCACCTAGCAGATATTACGGGCTCAACCAGATACAAGCCTTAAGTCGGCCTGTCAACTGGCACGACGTGACTTGCCTCGGAACGATGGCGTCGGTGGCAAGCAGAAGGGGGTGGTGGTTGATGAAGGGGGGTGCTACATTAGCGAAACGTCGCTAACAACCCTTTTTTACCTCCTTAATCGTTCCGGGAACGTACCCTTA